GGGAACTGGAAAAGACAGGGTAATAATAGGCATAGATCAATAGTAATTAATTACATAAAATACATTCTATATGAATGATTGTCTATAAACACAATATACATGAATGAGGCACAATATAAACAAATTATTGTATGCAAATAAACTTTTAAGAAAGCTAAGGATAAAAGAAATAAAGTTAGAAACATCAACACAGACACACAGTCATGAAATAGAGCAAAGGCTGTTCTTTCAAGAACTGAACTTTTACAAATCTAACAAAAATTTTAAATGTCACTAAAGACTAAGAAGAGAAACCATCAAGAATACAAAGGGAAATGTTTGAAAACCTGGGGCAGTTCTGCATAACTGGACTTCACTGTTTTGCTGAAAGTGGTGTGAAACCACACAAAAACATTTATTATGGTAATAAATATTGATTTACAATAAAGAAAATATTCTACAATCTTAAAATACAAATGGAAAAGATTCAAAAGCCAAATGAACTAATCAGTAAATATTCAGCAGGTTATCTTTTTTGATCACTTTTAGCAAGATCCTAATTATATTAAACCAATGATTAATAACTTGTTATTTAGCATTATGTAATAATGACATAAAAAGCCAAGTTAATACCTCATACAGGTGAATTTCATTTTTCTATATTTTTTAAATAACTGTATTTTAATTTTTTTATCAAATTTAAAAAACTTCCTTTCTGTTTGGTTCAAATTGGTTTTAGAATTCTAAGGAAACAAGATGTGAGGCAAAATTTTTTAGTTTATCGCGTCCTGAGCTACGGAAGTCAAATGATGATTAAAATGGTGGTATGTATGTATCTAGAGTGCTATTTACAATTAACTACATGGAAGAGATTAGTCTTAAATGGAAGACAAATGCTAACTGGAGTGAAGATACATATTCTTCTTAGATTTCTCTTAACAATTCATTTTAATGTTAGATGCTTAAGTATATAACACATATAATGTTCTGTCAATTTACTATAAATGTACTTAAGGGCTTACCCTGAGAAAGGCAATCTTGTTTCTAACATCCACCACAATGGCATTCCAACTGTCCACTGCAGCCTTTAAATGAGGTGAATCTACATTGCTGGAGCAAAAAGAGACATATGAGCTACACCTTTCTTTTTATGTATCATTTGAGTTCCAAAATATTCCTAACATATCTTCTAGTTGTTGTTGTAATATACTGTCGAGTTCCTGGCAACTCATAGCGACCCTCTGGATTAAGAGCCCTAAATCCTGCTCTATCCTGTGCCAACCTCACCATCTCCTACACACCTGCTCCCACTACCCCAATCACTGAATCACTCCATCTCATTGAGGGTCTTCCTCTCCTGCACTGTTCTTTCATTCTCCCAACCATGATGTCCCTCTCCAAGGAATGGTCCATGCCTAAAGTATGTCAGACGAAGCTTCAGAATTCTTGACTCCAAGAAGCAGCCTGGCTTTACTCTCTCCATGACAAACTTGTTTGTTCTTCTACCAGTTCATGGTATATTCAACACTCTTCTCCAGCACCACAGCTAAAAGACATCAATTCTCTTTCTATCATCTCTAGTCACTGTCCAGCTTTCCAAAGTATAACACACAATTGCGAAGACTATAGCCCGGATCAAGCATGCCTTAGTCTCCAGCCTCACATCGTTGCTCTTCAGTACTCTGGAGAGGTCCCTGACA